GGGATTACTTCTGTTGAAGACAATGAGCCTTCATCCTCTGACCACCAGAAGGAGACCCCACTGCCCACAGTGCACGTGCAAGAGGGAGGGACCATATGCTGATGGGCTCTCAGAAATGTAATGAATATGGATACGAATTCTGGGAAAATCATTGATTATGTAGGTGAGCCTATATCTGAACCCAGCTTTTGCCTACGTTGGGCAAGATAGGAAGAATATCCCTCTTGCACCCGGTGCCTGCGCAGCACTGATTAAAACATACCTGCTTCATAATCAAGCTTTGGGTTGCAGAGTCTGATTCCACGAGTCAGAATGAAAAAAACAGCAGAGCCCAATCTGGTCAGAAAGAGTCGCCGCTCAACCAGCTTCCAAAATAACCCCACTATGTGCCTGGCTGCATGCTCAGAGTCACCCTAATGGGTTCTCTCTTGCCTCTGTCAAAAATGTGTTTTCTGACCACGTTTGGAATATTCCTGTTGTTTTAAAGTGGGAAACTTAAAGCTCCGCACTGAGCAAAAAGCATTAAAAAACAAATCTTTTTTTGTTGTATTCTCGTGTGTTTTCTGCAAGAATTTTGTGCCTATAAAAGCCCAGAGACAAAAGGGAAGCATGTGTCACTTTCTCAACAAAAAGGCTGCAAAATCTCAGTTTTATGTAAATAAGCACACGCTGCTCCCAGGGCTTTAAAACCGGGGAATGCTGAAAACGTCTATAGTTCCTCAACTCAAGTGTTGCTCCTGGGCAATGCTATAATATTCATTAAAGAACCCATTTATCAACAGATACCACATGTCAGAGTTTTCCAGCACGGCTTCCTGACACTGCTCTGAAAATGATGCTTAAAAGACAAAACCTGAAATGGAAAGCGATAATCCGGGATTCTTTTGCCTGCTGTTTGGCCCCACAATAGTGATTAGCAACTAAAAAAGTAAAGATTTACACTATATCCTTTCTGATAACGTCGAGCGTTATGCTTTATTTTCCAAATCATTAGCATGCACAAGAATGACCTCATGGTGAACAGATGCACTTGGATATGGCAGTGATTAGATCAGTCCTCTCAGCAGTCAAGTGTGCCCATTTCAATTAACCCTTTGAAGCACCAACTGCAAGCCCACGGTGCTGAAAAGCAGGGCTGGAGGTTCTCTCCGAAGCAGAAATCTGCCCCTGTATGAGGGTTTCTCTGGTCAAAGGGCTATTTCTTTTCCCTTCCAGAAAGTCCAGCTATTCCCATTTTCTAAGAGTTAACACAGTTCTGGATCCCGGTCTCGAATGAACAAAGCCACTGCTTTTTAGCCACCAGAGGTAATTGAAGTTGGAACGTTTTGTATCTGTTTGCACCTGTTCAGTTTTTATCCCTTTTTAAAGCATACGCAAGCATTTCGTTGAATAATTGTTTTCCTTTTTTTTTTTGGCTGAGGGAGCAAGAACAGAAAAAGATAGCAGCTTAAAAACCCATCCTTTAAAAGGAGAGAAATCTGCAGAGGGAAAGGATAAGAATAATTCAGCAGTGTTGGATTACTGAGGATTTCCTGGGCTGCCTCTCATACCCAGCCTAATTAAAATACAGCATGTAATGTACCAGTTTAACAACAAAGGACGGTATTCTCATCTTTTGTTCCTAATCTGCACATCCCCTAAATGAGTTCAGGGACGCCCGTTCTGCCCACCAGCCTGCATGTGCAGCGCGTGAGAAGGACTGGGCTATCTGTGATACGTAGAGGGACTTTAAGGCTCTGTTCCTGAAAACAGCACGGGAGCTATTTTCATGTGTACAGCCAAGCACCTGCAGGATTATGTGTGATATGGGAGGCTAAGCAAAGGCGTGTTTTAAGAAGCCCGCGTCCCGTCTGAACCTTGGGGAGGCATCCCTGGAGACAGCCTCAGGAAACAGAAAAACAGCTCAGCCAAGGAACACTGCAAAAACATGGCTTATTAGCAGCCACATATTCAGTTCATAGAATCGCTTTGGTTTCCTTCTTGTACTGCACTGACTGCTTAAACCGATCTTAATTTCAATAAACGTGTACTTGCTGACCCTTTTTATCACACAGGAGTGCAGGCAGTGATGGCAGGATTAGAAAGAAGTGGCACTCAGAATGAGATCAGAGAAGAAATAACCTTAAAATTGACCCGAAAAGTTTAAAAGCAAAGCAGGGCTGGCAGTTTCAGCTGGGAGAAAGAGAGCAAACTCTGTCCTGTGCCAGCACCATACATGCACTTCTCCACCAGCCACTTCTTCCCTCTTCCCTCACTTCACTTGCACAGCAATTCCCCTTGGCCATCCCATCAGCACATTGCTTTGCAGCCCTGTCTGATCACCGACGGGGTGAAGAGTTGGCTGCAAATGTATCCAGACTTCACCTGGGTTGCTTCTGGATTTCAAAGGAAAGATACTGTGGTTTAAGGAAAGATCAAAGCACGCCTCATCCTCTGCTAGACAGTGTCAGCCTTGTGCGTGGAGCTCAGAGTGGAAAACAAAGCAGAAATACTCAGTATTACGGGGGGTGCTGCTGGGCTCTGTTCTTGGTGTTTCCCAGCTCTGAGAGCTCCAGGGCCACACAGAGTCAGCAGGCTACAGGTTACCCTGCCTCTGGATGCTGGTGGTACATTTGTTAGCACCCACCAAGGAAAACACGCCCGGCTGGGTGTCCTGCCATGGGGTGCCCCTGCTGCCTCCAGGCTGATTGAATGTGTCACGGTCAGTGCTTGGTGTAACAGTGCATCTTCAGGGCAGCTAGCAACACAACTCTTAGTGATACTCAACTAAACACGCATGTAAGGAGCAGACAACTTGGGCAGACTCCTTCAAAGAGAGCACACCCAGAGGCATGGATTCACATCCTTGCCAGGACTCGTCCCATTACAAAAGCCCTATTTTCACACACCAACTGGGCTATTCTGGACTCATTCTTGCACCACAGTCACTTACAGAGCCCATAAGAGAGGAACACCCAGTTGCTGTGTGAAGCTTCCCGCTTGGTCCCTGGCTGCAGCCTGGGCTGCGACTCTTTATCCTTGCCCATCACTGGCCAAGAAGGAATTAGGACCGATAACCTGGGACCAGGTGGAGGCTTTGATCCCAGAAATCACAACCAGACTCCAGCTTCTCCAATAGGAAGGAAGCCCCAACATTTGGAGCCTGAATATCAGGACCCGACAGTGGCAGGTCAAAAAGCATAAACTCCTGACATCATAAACTGATGTTCCAGTACCAATCATCTAACGGTGTTCTGAGGAATGTAAGCAGACATCAGCAAAGTAATTCTGCATCCATCACCTAATTCAGAAAGCGTGACTACTGCATTATCAAATGAATCTGTCCTTGCCTGCCCAACTAAATTTCACCAGAGAAAGACCTGTAAGAGTGCTGTAAGAGAAAGTGAGAAACAGATACAACCATGCGCAGAGCACCTAACATATACTGAGGTACCTACTTCTTTTCCTGATGCATCAACAGACAAATGATTCAAAGTGCTAACAACACTGGGCACGAAATCTACATTTCTATTGAAATTGATAATTTCTTTTTGTCTCAGACTTTTGGCAGAGCGTATAAAAGAATTTAATTCACAGCTGTTCTACTTTTTAATGTAGAAAACATTAATCAAAGCTTTAAGTTATAAGCTTTTCTAATGTTGTTTAGTATTCCAGTTCAGCAAAGATCAATAGAGGCCATTCCTGTGTTTCTTGACGCCTCTCCAGGAAGCAGAGGCGCGATTATGTAAATAGCACTGGCTCCCCTTTACTTCTGCCAGCTTGCTTATCTCCAAAGCCTTCTGCCTGCTGCTACTGGCGACCAATGCAAGGACATGCATATACCTCTTATCTCCCAACAAAGCTCTGAAAACGCACGGATTGGAGCCAGTAATGTTAAACAATGATGCACGGCTGATTTTATTGGTAACTGATTTATTTTAGGAAATCTAATTTCTTCCTTCAATTTTTTTTTTTTCAGTTTAGATGGGAGATATTTGCTAACAAGTCAGGCGAGAGAGAAATAGAGCAGATGTTCTCCAACATTTATACAGGTCTGAAATAATCTATTAAACAACCCGAAAGTGTAGTGGGAAATAATTAGCAAGTGCCAGTTTCACCCAAGGAGTGTAAAAAGAGGATTAAGGAATCTTTGTTCAAGAATCCAACGGGCAGTGACCATACTTCTTGAGGTTGGAAAAGCAAATCTTGAGGGCACTGGAAATCTGCATTTTAGAAGCAGTGTTTCCTTTGAAGACGCATTTATTTAAACTTACTTAAAACAGCGAAGTTTGGCTCTTTTGGACTTTGGATGCTACCTTAAGACCTCAATGGGACACGTAAGGGATAAATTCACACAGGCATTAAATGCTCATCTTTCAATGGAGCTGATGAATGGTCGCCAGCATAAAGGTGTGTACACACACACATGCGGAATTACCCACACCTAACATATTAAAAGGAAAGAAGTGAACAGGTTCCAGGCCAGGTGCTGGAAGAAAGCCTGCAATTTGCTCATACGTACTGAAGGCAAATGCTAGCGTTCCGCACACGGCTGTGATTTTCCAACGGAACACCATTCTTACATTTCTTTTTCATTAATCCCTGACCCTGGTATCTCAGCAGCATAATCCCCATTTAGCATTAGTAGCAACGGCTTCTACTGCGAGGAACTATTTTTCGATAAGTAAGCACCGATTCAGGCAAAGCTTTTGAACAGCATATTCCCAGCTCAGCAAGAAACCCGCACTCCTGAATGAACCGGAGCACATTACTGAGAGAAAGTTCATTAACCTTGCTAGATTCGAGGGTTAACAGGATAGCTGAAGAAAGGAACAGAGTGAATAGCTCTGATGCAAAACAAATTAAAATGAATGTCATCATTCCTTTTGATATTCATTAGTTGATTCAGGGGAAGAATGGTCTTCTTAAATTTGCAAGCATTTATCTACAAAAAACAGGTGTACATCTGCTGCTCAAGTGCTTCTTAGTGCGAAAGAGAAGAATAACGTGCAGAGACTCACCAGTTCCACCCAGGGAGTAGCTGGGAGAGGGAGAAAAGACCTGAGCGGCAAAATCCTCAAATGTCATTACTTCTTTGTGGTTCTGGATTATTGCTTCAAGATACAGAGCTCTTTCCTCGTAGCTGCAACAGCCAGGTTAAGGAACTGTGTGCACAGAATAAAATGCTGTTACGTGACGTGCAAACCCACTGAAACACTAACAAAGCCACACACTGGCATAGGGGACCCGAGCTGCACAACACTGCTCAACGCTGCTAAACACGAGCAGCCTCCTTGCTTGAAATTACAGACGATGCTTTAGCTTCATCAGTGGAAAGGAGCGACTTGGTAGATCCGGTGGGATGCTGCAGTTACCAAAGGGTAAAACCTCAGCTTCCCCAGTGCAGGCTTTTTGAAACCACAACCCAACTTTAAGAGAAATTAGCTGTACTGGAAGTTCGTATTGCTGTTAAAATAACCCTGTCAGACTAGAAAAAATGATTAGATAGGAGGAAAGCTGCAGGATAGAAGAGAAAAAAAACCCCATGTTTACTCGATCATTATGCGTTTTAAAAGAAATTAACAGTAAGTGACACAAATCCCCAGGGCGTGAAGTTGATATTTAATGCAGATGTAGTATTATGTATCCTAAATGAATGACACGGATTGAAAAAAAAAAACACACACACAAAAACTTGCACACGTTATTGTCTGCATAATGCAGACAACAAAGCAATCTAAAATCAAGACTATTGCCTTTTAATTAAAACTCGGCAACCTGGAACACACAGCATTCAAATGTGTAATCAAAAACCAGTCACCAATAAAACTTACAAGCGTAACAAGCTGAAGCAACTTTCCAGCTGTCTTAATAGGACCCCTGCTTGCGGCAGCTTTTCAGAGCGGAGAAAGCAAATCTTTTCCTTTTGTGTGCAGCTTCTGTTTTCTCAGAAGGTGAATCATACACTTCCAATAACGGGATAACGCCTGAAACAAACCTACAATGGGCTGAAGAACCTCACGTATGACTTTATGAATTAGCGCTCGCAGGCGCCCGTATGACATCTCATTCTCCATTTCCTCATTTAAAACAAAAGTTTTCAGATGCCCATTGTGTTTCTGTTGTGTGGAAACGCATTACGAGTTTGCAGGGCTGCAACGGGGGAGAAAAGGGCAATTTAAATTGAGAAATTAGGAGCGTACAGTGGAACGCCAGCGACAACATAATGCAGGTGAGGGTATTTAGAAGTGAAAAGCATTACTAATTAATACTGAAGTGCCGTTTGCGACTTTCATTATGTTAACAAAAATGCTTTGAAATGGCTTTAAAAAAAATAAAATCGGAGCACTTAAAAATGGGAGGCGGTGGCCGTAGTGTTGTGCCTCACTGGGGGCAGCAATGGCGTGCCTGCCAGTTGCTAGAGCTGCTGCGACGGCAAGAAAAGGAAACAACGGCAGCGCCGGCCCTCATGCTAGTGGAGAAGGGCAGATACACGATAAATCTTCTTACAAACTTCCCGTGGAAGCCTGGAGAAAGAGAATCAATAGATGCCGTTTCAGAGCGTGCACCTGCTGACAGCGTTATTTGTTTAGCGGTGCTCCCTTTTCTCCCCTAAGCCCAGGAGAACGCATTCCTGATAGCGCAAGCATTAGCCCGCCTGCATTCGGGGCTGCCTCCCTATTATGGGCTGAACTCCTGATGACTCTTGTTAATGAATAGGCTGCCAAACTTCCTCGGAGAGGAGGCACACGCCTGGGCCCTATTCTAAAGGGACTGACGGATGCCATTCACTTCTCATTACGAAGATGCTTATTCCGCGGCGCGCTCGGCTGTTGCCAGGGCCGTGCGGCGCACGCTCGGGCTGTCAGCGGGACGCGCGGGCCGCACGGCCGTCTGGCCAGCAGCCCCTCCGCCGCGGAGCTGGCACGTGCGGGCGCAGCGGGGAGGGAGCGAGGCGTGACAAATCGCTGAAAGGCTCCGGCCAAACCGACGGCTGCCGGCCACCTGAGCCCGCCGCCCCGCCGTCCGCAACGCCCGGCCTGCCGTGCGCCCTGCGGCCTGCTCCGGGCCGTGCTTCCAGCCGGGAGGGAGGACGGGAAGGCTCTGCGCTGCGCCTAATGACGTCCCGCTGCCTAATGAAAGGCCTCGCGCGTCCAGCACACAAGCCGGCAATGCGCCGGACGGACGACTGCTGACACAACGCGACTCCGTACCGGTTTCCCTGAACGTCGTGCAGAAAAACAGAGGGGTGAGGTTTCTGCGAGGCCAGGGGCATGTCTCTTAGAGCCCTTACAAAACAAAGGACCGCAGCCATTCAGATGGGCAACCGCAAGGGAAGCACTCAAACTGACCGCTGGGAGCTGGGTACCACCAGCACCCACAGCCACACAGACTCCGTGCAGGCTTGGCAAGCATCAGCATGGCACAGACCTGCCACCCCTCATCACCATCCCTTGCAGCTCAGCATCCTCCAGGTGACCAACCAGGACAGCAGCCAGCTCTAGTTTTACCTAGCTTCAGTTTTCATTAGGGACATAAACAAGCTCTGAAAGGAAAACTGCTACTTCACTGTTGCAGTGTCATTACACTAGGTGGCTGCCAGATACACTCCATCCTTTGGAGCTCCACTGTACCTGGAAATTTCATGTTAAGCGCTGGAATAGGCTCCCTAGGGAGGTGGTTGAGTCACCATTCCTGGATGTGTTTAAAAACCATTTGGATGTGGTGCTCAGGGAAGGATTTAGCAGACAGTCATTAAGAGTTAGGGTAGTTTGGTTACCTTGCTTGATGACCTTTAAGGTCTTTTCCAACCTGAGCAATTCTATGATTCTACGATTCTAACGCATTCTGGGAATCCAAGAGAACAGAGAACATCCAAAGACCGCCAGTACAAGGTGGATGAGGAGAAGAAGGCTTGGAGATCAGCAATTTGTGGCTGTTTGTATCACAGCAGTCTGAAACAGTCTCTAAAACGTCAGTCTCGAGAAGCTTCCTCTCCATCACCATGTAAGCCTGACTCCCTCGTGGTAATTGCTAGCACAGTGCTGTTGAGATTGCAGCCACTGCACTTTTGTTGCACCTTCACCCTGAAGGACCAGGGATCTGATTTTACTTACTTAAACATGCTGGAAGATTAAGCCAGATCTGTTTAACGCAAAATTCATGTCACAGCTGTGCATGAGCACATGACGTAAAGCTGCCCTCCAACATGAAGCCCGGCCATATCATTCAGATGAAACCAATACTTGCACAGTGCTGTATAAACTACTATTTACTAAAAAAATGTTTTGCATGTATCAGCAACCCAGCCTTCACAGCTCATTGCTATGCCACGGGTTGAGCGGGGCCCAGAGAAAGCCTAAAGTGCCTGGCTGGCGGTGCTGCAAAAGCCTCAAGGCCAGACTGCTGAAGTGAAGCATGCAAATCATTTCTGGGGATGGCCTGGCTGCAGAGATGGGTTATGATCTTGAACCCTACACCGCTGAAGGAGCTGGACAGCTGGCTTCCCTGATTAACAAAGCCCCCATTTATCTGAAGGTTTTGGGTGTCCCTTGAGATCTCCAGATAAATGGGGTTATACCAGACATTCAAAGAAGCTGATCAAAAGCAGCCTCTTTTAATATGTATGGCAATTTGACCCATCTCTTACACGATTGCATTATTTTACATTTTACTTCTACCACGACAAACTCCAGAGCAAAATGCTTTCAATAGGCACAAACTCTTCCAGTTATTTATATTCATACACTGAACGACACAGAGCCACAAGAAGGCACACATGGCCATCAATATATATGAACGTGTGACAGCAGGAATTTATCTCCAATTAGAATATGGCAAATCTCAGTATTTGACCATTATGTGTTTTTATAAATATTTTATAACTCGATCAGTTATTTTAACCGTTCAGCCATACAGCAAGCTGTGTGACAGGAGAACCTCCAAAGTCCTTGTTGCCTATGTTCTGTAGATGAACAGAGCCAATTTGAGGTCCAGATGCGTCCAATGTCTCTGTCTCTGGACACACAAGCCGTGTTGTATCATAAAGGTACATTTAAAAACAAGGAATGCAGAAAATAATTACTCATATAGATCTAGAAAATGCAAAAACCTAAACTCTGTGCTGACCTTAAGGAAAAATATCAGGTATTGATCACTACTGGCAGCAGTGGCCAGCGATTCCTTCTTTACACTATTTTTGGAGAACAAAATCATCTTGGTAACATTCTCATATTGCTAATATATGAGAACAATCACACATTTTGTTGACATAGCACTCTTTTCATGGAAACAAAAGCCAAAATGCCTAGTGGGTTCTGAACAGGCAAAGTGAGAACTGCCGGGCGACCCTCCACAGCTTACTGTTTTGTGGTGTGCCAGTGCCAAGGGGCTCCATCCCACACCAGGACCCAACGGCTGGGCTGCACGAGGAGCACATGCTGACACGACTGTTCCTCTGGCTCCAGAGGGATTGTTAATGCCAACTATTGGCATGAACTGATTGCAATTCCCATCTGTGATGCAAATCCTACCCCGAGAAGGGCTTTCAGGGCATCTGGCCAGTGGAGAAGCTGGAAATATAGAAGCAGACAGCTCTTTCCAGCCCATCAAGACTATATGCATGACCACACGTCAATTCCTAATTCCAACCACACAGGGAGACTTGAAGGAAAGAGAAATTCTTGGAATGTCTTCTTAAATGCAAGAAGTACATTGCTCCAATCTCCCCAGGGGCTTCCAGCTTCACGGATGCTCATACAGGTGACTACACAGCTATTGTGCAGGCAACCTGAGAAAATCCATTCTGCAAATAGTTTTCTAAGGCTGAGGAAGGTGCTGGGGCAAGCTCCTGTTTTACTGTCCCTTCTTTTCAGTACCAGAGAACTACGGATAAGTTATTTCTCACCGTCACGTTTATTTCAATATCCTCTTAATTTGCACCATGAGAACCAAATATGGTTTCATAAAAAGGTTTTCTTCCTGCTACAATGACAGCAGTTTGATAAACAAGCACCAATATAAATGTTTGGGACTTACCAAGGCAAAATAGAAGAGGGGCCATAAAATTGAAGCTAACAAATGTGGTGGTAAGATGACCTTTATATGCCTAATTGTCCTTCTCGCAGCTCTGGATACTACAGA